AACGGCGATTTGTATACAAACATATTTGCGCTTACAAAAAGCGCTGCGCGTAGCAATACTGTCCAGCAGAAGTAACGCAGCAATTGCAACTGCTACATGAAGCCGCTACGTAGCGCTACGTAGCGCTAGCTTCGGCTAAACACACCCATTGTTTAAATCAGAACGACTTTCTATGCAGTTTATGCACTTCATGCGTAACTCGGAACGCAGCCATAGACGTCTAATGCATATCCATACTACGTCCACTATAGATATTTATATGATATCTAATATTAACATCTATTAGACGTATGTTATGGATATATAATAAACGTATATATTTTCAAAGACTTAATGAATTATTAAAAAAATGTTTACTGTGTTTTTTTTATTTAAATAACTGCTGTTTATTATCGCATAAAAATATTTATATAGCTCTGTGCGACATTTATTTCCATGATGAATGACCGATAGTTTATATAAAATTCATTACGAACATTGGCTGCGTTCAGCAGAACTCAGCGCTTAGCAAGCGCTTTGCTATTTTTACTTGCTATTGGCTTGTACTCTCATAGTTTCAATAGATCTACAAGAAAAGGCCAATCACAGACAATAAGCGCAAAGCGCTTGCCAAGCGCTGAGTTCTGCTGAACGCAGTCATTGCCAGAGAAGATGACATACAGCTGCACCAATCTTTTTGGAAAAATCTCAGGTAAAGTTTAAGTAAATTTTAGCAAAGTATATATAAACAGGATCAGCACGATTGTGCGATCCTGATTATCACAGAATTTCAACGTGTCAATGTGTTGAAACAGAATAATTGTCTTCTATAGTGACACTCTGTGTACAGGTTATGTGCTGGTGACAGGTAAAGATTTGGTATGCTGACTTGGAGAAATAACAGTCAGATAAGTAATAATGTGTTTCTTGGATCTCTGCGTGCGAAAGAACCTAACTGAGTAAAAACTTTGATTCTTTAATGTGTATTTTTCTTTATTTTTACTGGTGAGGTTGCAGCTGTCAGGTATACGCACTCAATGCACTACTAGCAAAGTGAGGTAAAAATACAAATAAATAAGTTATTTAGATTAATGTCAGTTAGATAAAAATACTTTAATAATTATTTTTCTGTTATAGGAGCTGTCAACTACCCAGGACTTTGCACAGCTGTCACTATGTAAAGATATTGTAATATACAGGTAAGTGGTCAATTTATAAAAGTAAGATGTATGTCAAATAGATAGTTTAGCTAAATACAATCGCAGTCAATGTTAAAATACTAATGTAATACTTATTTTTATGTTGCAGGTACAACAGACTACACAGAAGGTGCATACTACTGTCACTGCATGAGACTCAGCACTGGATATAAAGGTAAGTAATGAGTCAAATGTTAGAAATGTGTAATAAATAAATAAATTAGATGTCTACGATTGTGTAGTCAGACTAATAAAAAGATATTAAAATCTATTTTTCTGTTACAGATATGGAAATCAATAATAAAGAGATAATACAGAGTTTATTTAAACAAAATTATATATATAAAAGTTTAAGTTTTACGTATCAATATTATACAAGAAAAGAAAAAGAGAATTTGTAATTGCATTAATCAAAAGATGATAATATTGTGGCAACAATAAATTCACGAGGTTTTGAGGTTTGATTTGTGTTAAACAAAAGCATTCTAAAGCATTTACCAACAACTTTATCCAAACTGATCACATTCAACTTACAAGAAAGTGATGAAAACTGAAAAGTTCCTATTTGGGAAGATTCTACTAAATTCTCTACTAAAGTATGCAAAAAATGTTTAACTTTAGTAAACCGTTTTATGGCAATATAATATTAATTATTATTTTCAAGAATGCAATTATTCAAATCTTCAAGGATAACCGTATTATCTTTTTGATTTAATGATAAAGTAAATCTATTAGAAATTAACTTTGCATATTGGGAATAATGACAAGAGCTATTAGCAAATATAAGTCCCTGCTTATGAACACGTAAATACAATCACGAATTATTTAGGTAAAACTGCAGCTAAAAGCAAATTTTTTCTGATTGAAATTTATCTCAAGTTGTTGTTTTTTATTTGACTCACATTACAAAAAATTAATAAGAAACATAATGCATAAATAATTAAACTAAAAAGTATAAAATAAATAATAATGCTTTATACACAACACTTTTATTTATATTATTGTTAGGCGTCGGATATTAGTAATCTATTTTTTTAGCAAAGAATTGCAAAAATAAATAAACGAGATTATCGTCTTGTGGACACACGTACTCAAGATAAAAGTTTTTGCAATTTAATAGACGATTTGCGTAATGCAACGACAAACTTAGAAATGAAAACTGAAAGGGATATAGCTCAGTGACACTTTAATGGAATCTATCCGTTTATCCATTTGAGAATAAGACAAACTTCTGTGTAACATTTTTTTCGCAGCGTCTATTAGCTATTTGCTGCAATTGATGAGTAGGCTTTCTACAGTTTTTTCTAAACTATTGCAAATTATTTTTATGTGTAAAAGCCAAAAACGAATCTAAAGGATCTAAAAGAGTTTTGACATCTTTTGACAAGTGTAAAAGATCATGAATGTTGTATGAAAGAAATTCTACGCCATAATGTTCTGGAGCTCTTTGAACATAAATTTTTAACATTTTTTCTGCTTTGTCAATAAAATTTGCATTTGTACAACGAACACGATCTGCTAAAATTCGAATTGCAGAGTGCAAAAATAGAAAGTGCAAATACATCAATTCATTCATAAGTTCAAGGAAAATCACCGGACTGCTGTACAATAGAATTTGACGATACTTTGTTGCTTTGAAAAAATGATATCTTATTATAGTAACTGGCTTTCTTGAAAACTCTATTGGACAATATTTTGCAATTTTTTGTAATCTATAAGAAAGAATTTTTGTCGAAGCAGGTAACAATTTTGCAGAGAAAGCACATTTTCCATCAATTATGGCTAATATTTTTTCCATAACACCAAGACACACTAAATGCATATATTCAAACAACAGTTTGATTTACTAAATCCATAGGAAGACTTGCAATTGATGATTCGCCTTCAAGATGGTGCTCTCCATCTAAATGTACAATATATTCTTTGTTTGTTCTTACTTGATGATCAATACTTCTGTATAATATTACACCTGTATAATATTACACCTGGACGAGTAGATTCTTCTATAACTCAATATTTAGAGCAGGGGACTCGAGATTTATGATTTTGATATTCTAATATAAAGGCTCGTGCAACTGCATCAGCAATAAAGCAACAAAGATTAATTTTCAATTTTTTTTTATTACAAATAATCTTGTTAGTTTTAACTTGTAAAACATAATCAACAAATGTTTTAATAGTTCTACAGCACTTGAAGGTTTTGAAGATCCTTTCCAAACTCCTACAATTTCTGGATTACTTCTAGAAATATTTGACACTCTAAGTTAAATAAGATACAATTGAATATTGCTTACATTATACGAAGAGGCACCGTCTATGTGAAAATAAATTTCTAAAATGCTTGGAATTTTATTAATAGGTATGAGTTTTAGAGTTGATTTAATGTTTTCTTCAAAATCTAAATGAATATATTCTCCTCCAGCAATATTAACAATGTCACATGATGTTTTAGGAGTTTTCAGAATTGTTCTAGCGTCACTAGGAAGATAAGAAAAACATGCATGAGTTTTAAGTAATTTTAAAATTGCACTGATCAAGAGTTAAATTTCCTTGTATAAATATAAAAGCAAGCTGTTCTTCAAAACTTATTGGTTTATCTAATTCTTCAACTTTAAATATTTTTACCTGACAAATCACAAACTGTATTATTTTATTATAGTTGTAACTCGTCGATAATTGAAAGGTTAAATGAACGGCAGTACGAGTGTTATACAAGGTGTCAGTGTATCTTATTTATTGGAAAATAATGTGTAATCAGACGTTTCGATCAATCTTTGTGATCTTCATCAGCGATAGTCTGTTGAAAAATAATATGTCAAAATACAATTTTTTTTAAGGATTGAATTACAATGTTAACAAACAAATTCTCTTAATGTTTCTTACCAATACAATCAGATTAGGAGTCATATCACTATCCAACAAAGAACCAAGTCTGTGATGTGTGTGTGTGTTGTTATAACACTTGACTGGTTAAAGAGACAACAGCGATATGACGCCTTTACAACAAGCGCAAGTATATATATGTTTGTCTCCTCCAAATATCACGAACATGTGAACCAATCGCACAATAACAATTCAAATCCATATACTAACGCATATACTAATGATTGTCTAAATTTTCTTTTTGTAAGTCTCCAAAATTGAAAAATATGGTTTTAATTTTTCTGTGCCGGACATTATATTAATTGGATTATCTTGTAATTTAATATTAATNATTTCTGAAATGGCTCTTTTTTGATAAAATTTTTCTCTATCTAATATTGTTGTCTCTTGCCATTTAAAATTATGTCCTGTATTTTTTCTATGTTCAGTGACTACTGACTGATTAACGTGTGGTCTGTTTATTTGGTTCTTGTGTTCAGATAATCTCGTTTTTAATTTTCTTTTTGTTTGATCCACATATGTTGCGTTACAATTGTCGCATTCTATTTGATAAACTACATTTTTATTGTCTTCTAGAACTAACGGATCTTTTAATGTTTTGATGTATGTATTCAAATTGTTAAGACTTCTGTAAGCGAATGAGATTCCCTTGATACGTTTGTGTTATTGATTGGGATAATTTGTTAATGTAGGGGATCGTAAAATACTTTTTTGTTTCTTCAGACGTCGTTAATGCAGGTGTATTTTCGTTGGTTTTATGTGTAAATAAATATTTAATTTGTTTGTTAATAGTGTTAAAAATGAGATGTAAAGGATAGTCATTTTGTAATAAAATATTAGTTAGAATTTTAAGATTATTTTCATGAAAGATCGGGTGCGATAGTAAAATAACTCTGTCAACCATACCTATGACAGTTCCGATTTTTTGTGATATGTGGTGTGTGGAATGAAAATTCAAGTANCTACCGGAGAAAGTCGGCTTGTGATACCAATCTGTTATTACTTTGACGCCTTCGTTAATTATAGTGACGTCTAAAAAGTTTATGGAATTGTTGTTTTGTGTTTGGAATTGTATTTTGACATATTATTTTTCAACAGACTATCACTGATGAAGATCACAAAGATTGATCGAAACGTCTGATTACACATTATTTTCCAATAAATAAGATACACTGACACCTTGTATAACACTCGTACTGCCGTTCATTTAACCTTCTGTATTATTTTGTTTGAATTCTACACGTATATCTTCTGTGATTTCCTCACGTATATCTACACGTATATCTTCCTCTGATATATCACAAAAGAAATTACCAGATTCTACGTTATAGTTATTGTCTGTTATGTTATATTGTTGCTTTTGCTCAATAGAATAAAGTAAATTATTCTGCAATTATTAATAAACTGAGAGTTATCTCGGGCTCTTAACTCTTTAAACTAGTTGCTGAATATAATTGGTCGTGTAGAGCCGTTCGCTGGATGTTGAAAAATTGGCGAAAAATATGTCTGTATATACACACATTTATATATACACACGTTTATATATACAGGGTGTCCCAGAATTGCCGTACAATCTTTCGTAGGCAGGTAGAAGGAGTAAAACTGAGTCGAAAAGTCCTGAACCATTTTTTTCTATTATTTATAATAAAGAAGTAATTATTGAGTAAATCAGGTCAATCAGCGCAGACCTTTAGCCAGGTCTGCACGTCAGTGAGCGCTCACACACACCAGGTGCACGGCTCACTGACGTGCGCGTGGCTAAAGGTCGGCGCTGATTGGCCTGATTTACTCAGTAATTACTCTTTTATTATAAATAATAGAATTACCATTATAAAAAATGGTTCAGGACTTTTCGACTCAGTTTTACTCCTTCTACCTGCCTACGAGAGATTGTACGGCAAATCTGGGACACCTTGTATATATACACATATGTATATATATGAACAAATTCACATTTTCATGTAAGTTTTTGAATTGCACTTTCAATTTTTTTGAATTATATAGGATGCTAGATTTGTATCTCGTATATGAAGGACCCCGGATACCCCCCCAATTTAAAAGAATTGAAATTACAATTCAAAACCTTGCAACATAAAATTGTGAATTTGTTTATATATATACATATGTGTATATATATATCTAGCAAACAATTTGTGGGTTGTGGGATGTTGTGGATTTGTCAAAAATTGCCGGCGGAATTTCATGCCAAAACCATAGCCTACTGTGTCCTCAGGAGGATATAGTTTGGCGATTGACTCTGTCCAACACGTAAATATGCCAAGACGAGACCAAAATCGTAACAGATCTGCCACTAGCAAAGCGAAGCCAAAGTGAGGCACCAAATCCACAACAGGTTTGGTTATCTGTTGGCGCCAAAATATCGCCAAATACAGAACATATCTGTTAACAAAAAACTGTCAACAGAACATTAGCAAATACAGAGCAGATCTGTCGTCAGAAACGTCGACAGATTGCTACCAAACGCAGACCAGATCTGTTGCCTAGAATGGATTCCACTTGGAAGTGGAATTACTTACTAAAAACAAAAAAAAGGAACCCAATGGCATATTGCCTTGTCGGAGGGGAATTAATTCGAGATTTCACTAGAATTAATTTCTGGAGACCTGATTCAGCTCGCTGATTAACCGATGAAGTCCATTAAAAGGGACCGCACCTAAAAGAATCCTAATGTGATAGCGGGATTTGAACTCGATCTCCAAATTTGCAGCCCTTGCACTCAGTCCGCGAGACCACTTGTGTTTCTTACTAACATATAATTATTTTCATCTATTTATTCTCAAGCTATCCTACATTTCATTTATTATTTATGTAAATTATTATTTTATTAAAAATATGAAAGTACAATGTACCTGCAACAATAAATAAATATATTTTTGTTATTATTATTATAAATATAATTTAAAATACATTTTTACAACGCAAATTTTTTGTTGATTTATACTGATTACACTGTTCTCAACACATTTTTGCGATCTAAATATTAATAAAATCAATGTCAATTATGTATGTCATTAATATTAATTATGTAAAATTAGTGTTAATTATGTATATTTAAAAAATCGTACAGTAATAAATATAAATTTACATTATAGATAAAAGATAGCACTTTAATGTGGTGTAAGTAAAATTGTAAAAAAAATTTAGTTTGGCCGCAAAAATATGATAAATGTAGCTAAAACTGCCAATTTTGAAACATTCCGTTACAAAAAAGAACTACTGGTAGTAATATATTGCAGCAGTGATGCGAAAAAATTACTGGCATTCTGTGTAATTGCCAGTAATATTCTCAGTGATTCCTGTAATATCTAATAATATTCTTATGTCATTGTCAGTAATATTTATATTATTGACTTTACTTATATGTAATCGGCAGTAGTTCTTTTTTGTAAGGGGTAATCTCAAATTTCTCGAAAATTTGACGTGCTAAGTTAATTTCGTCGCTGGATTCATTTTCGGTGACCAAGAATCTATTAGAAAACACGTTTCTTAATAGGCAAAATGTGAAAATATTGCACAAAAATGGCATCATAACTAACGACGATTTTGCAATGATTGCACTAAGATGGTTTGCCATAACGCAACAGTTTTGTCAAAATAAAATCTTGTAAATAATATTTATATATTTATATTATAAATTATGTAAGAGTAGGTTTAGAAAATCGAAAAGTCATTAGCTGTTTGATAGTCAAAAGTCACATTAAAAAAAAAATTGAATTTGATATCTATGTGCTTCTGCCGTCAATTTATCGTGTGAACAGATCAGTCGCATTTGTTTTGTCAATCTGTTATCAGCGTGGTCGACAGAGCTGTCTACTATTAGTTGCCGATCTGTTGCATAAATCTTAACAGAAGCTGTTGAAGTTTTGTGTGCCAAATGGTAACACAGTTGCGCTAGTCAAAAGTGCTTGATATCTGCTAACAATCTGTCATCAATACGAGCAACAGATATGACCGCAAATAATCGCTATTTTATCACATAGATGACCCAACAGACGGTGTTGCAATTTTACGTGCGAACTGCCCACATGTATGCACGGACAAATCTGCTTGGCGTTTGCTGGCAATCTGTCGTTAATGCATTCAACAGATCGACCCTATTGCAGTCACCTTTCTGTAAACAGATGCTGCTACAAGTTTGCGAACTGTTTGGTTACAGTATTCTTAAAAGCAGAGCTGCTTGTTATAGACTGTCTATTTATCCTCAACTTTTTCGACAGAAATGTATCTGCTATCGACCACTATTCTCATATATATTTCCGACAGAGTTTGTTGCGTATTTAGATTTCGTGTGCTAACAGTTTTGGCAGCACCAAAACATGTTTCTTTTTTGTAGCGTTTCATAAAACAGTTTCTGTTGCCAAGGTCTGAGCAGTCAGAAATTGTTTGCTGGGTTATTATATGTATATTTCTCATTTTTTCATCTTTTGGAACACGAAAAAAATGCACTTTTTTATTATTAGAGTCATAACCAGAAGTACATCCTATCACAATGCAGCGTGTCATAATTTTAATTAGATTGTGTATGTATATGTTTAACACTAATTTTTATTGGTTTATTCGTTAGTGTCAAACAATTGTATGTCACTCAATCACTTCAGTCACTTCAATTGATAAAAATAGACAAAACTACTGATTACAGAGGTTATACCTGTTATACTGAGCATCTAGAAAGACACAGAGCATTTTTAGCACGCAGGATACAAGTTGTCAGCGCCGTCTATCGGTTCGGCGACATTAAGTGGACATACCACAATGTATACGGCATATATGAGTGTCAGAGGGCTGTGTAAAACCATCTGCTTCAATAATTAGGTAATAAAATTATTATTTCATCATTAGTAAAATTGATAATTTTTTATTTGCATACTGAAATATAAATATATTGTAGAAGGTTAATATTTTAAGGACATCAAGTGACACGAGATCAATTAAAACACGAGAGAATAGTTATGTCAATACTTATTATTACATTTTTATAACAAATAATAAAATAATTTAAAAAATATGTATCACATACTTTCCATGATTAATACTGTTACGAATATAATTTGAAAACACAGCAGAAAACAGTCTACAAGAATAGCATTCCATAGAAAAATAAACGGAAAAAGTTGGTATCCATGGAGTGACACAGATGAACACAGCATTTTGGCTGTGTACGGCCTGTTTTACAATACAGTCGTAAGCTGTAAGTCGTAAGAAATTGACCAATCACGGTCAAATCACAGAAGAATAATTGATTGTGATTAGTCAATTTCTTACGACTTACGGCTTACGACTGTATTGTAGAACAGGCCTACAATTGTGTCTACTTGTGTCGTAGTTGGAAAGCACCAAAGTGTATACAGTGTTATACAGTGTCGCCTGTGTACGTAGTTGGAAAGCACCCTAAAGTAGAAAAACTATTACTTAGGGCCGTATTCATAGTCGAAGCTCAAGGTAATGCTTAAGACTGTCTCGGTGAAAATGGTCTTATTTAATTAAGATCATCTCAAGGACAATATGATTCACAGTCGCAATATAAGGTGATCTTCGAGAAACTCTTCTTTAAGTAATTCTTATTTGATATAAAATTTGTCTTTACGAAGATGTGCTTAAGACAATGCTTATTTATGATTTGATTATTTCCGTAATATTTCCGTTGGATCCGCCAATAGAAATATTGGTTCACTTTTATAAAGTAGTTATACTATCTAGTTTAATATTATTAGTCGTGACTAATATTAAACGTTTTTGGAAGCGTTCCGATATTCACTGTACTCACCATACTCACAGCCAGAGATCTATAGCAAGAAGAAACACTAACTTCATAGATCATTTCCTTTTAGAAAAAGAATCCCAGAGGCTTATTTATTATTAAATAAAATAGATCAAACTAGCCTTTTATCGATGGTGGTTAAAATAAAAATCAGTTTTATTCTTAGGACGTTTTGATCGTTGTTCATTAATTTCCGATCATTATTAGCCACTAAATTAACATAGAATTAATTACCAGTATAAAACACGTAAAACTTAAGTTAACAAAGTATGATAGGGTGAAAATCAAAAGTTTATACGCACCTTCAAAACAATTGCACGCTATTACATGTCAACAAACAAGAATCCCATACAGCACAGAAGCTTGCAGCAACATTGCTGCAACGTTGCAACATTGCAACTATAGTGCAATGTTGCAGAGATATTGAAAAAACATTATTTGGAAATATTATTCCAGCAATGTTGCAGCAATATCTTAAAACATTGTTAGAATTGCGTATAAATATTAGTGTGTAATCGGTGACTGTA